GCCATGCCCTTCAAGGCTGTCGGGTTGCAGGTTTGGCATTGCTTAGGTTTCACTTGATTTATTACTTAAAGGTTTTCTTAAAAAATGGCAATGATATTTGGAACTTCTGATGTAGTTTTACTGATTTTTTTTTTTTTTTTTGTATTCTAAAAGCAGGTTGTATAACATGATATTCACTCACATAATTCATCTTTAATTTATGAAGTGATTTCATAGACATTCTGTCACAGATTACTTAATGTGAAGATATGAGTAGATTTTTTTAAAAAAGCAATTAAAAGGATCAAACATCTAATTGTTGGTGTATTAGTCTGGATCTCCTCACAGCTGAACACTTCAGTTGCAGCCATATTTTAATACGACCTCTTCTTGCAACTAAAAATAAATATCTGGGAAATGTGTCAGAATTCACCATTAATTATGGTTTTTAATTAAAATCTAATTAAAATCCACCCAATAGCTTGAAAGCATAACAAATGCTAGTCTACCTTCCTCTCTAGGGGGTATTAACAAAGCTTGCCTCCGTGGCTCCAACTTACCTCCACTTACATGCAACTTGCAGCCTTTACTTGATTACTTAAGAGATTTTCATGTTAACGCTTTTCAATATTTTTATAATAGCAAACAAAAATGTGCAATGTACTGGAGGTATTGGACTATCATTATTCAAAATAAGCAAATTTTTTTCTTGTGATCAGGTTATCTGGCATACAGAAGCAAAATAGGCAAGAATTATTTTTATTTTTTCTGCTTTTCTAGCTGGCTTTGGCAGCTGAATTTTTTTTCCACAAAGTGTATCTTCCTGCTGATGAATGCCACTGAGCACTTTTTAGGTAATAAGCAGGTATATCAAAAGATATCCAGGGCAGCATACCCTGGTGAAAAACATGAGGTTACGTTTCTCTACTTCTTGCAGATAACTAGCTCCTGACATAGATATGAGAAGCAGTTTTCTCCCAAAGCTCTGACAGTTAAATTCAGTAATTCTATTACCACTTAAGTCTTCAGAAAGCATTCCTTTGTAGTCCAATATAATTGGTGTCCAGAAACTTAATGGCATTACTTTCATTGCTTTAATTTACCTTGTCGTGAATCCATTTCTTTATGTAGTCTGCATTCAGTTGTAGGGAGTTTTTCATGTGCTTATTTTTATCACCAATTTAGTAATGATGTGCCCAACATGGCTATTTCTTGTCATATGACACAGAACAAGTGTAGAGGCCCAGCTCCAAAAAACCTTGGACTCTGTGTGAAGCAAACTAGAAGAGATGAATATTGATCCGGGAGAGGATTGCTGCTGTTAGGCTGGAGTGTGGTGTCAGGAAATTACACAACCTTCCTGTTGATTTCTGTAGATGTTTTGGTGAAAGATGGTCTAAGGAAAGATTTAGAATAGATTTCCTAATATTCATAGAAAGTGCTAGTAACTGGACACTGAGCGGTATCATGGGATAGCCAGAGTAAAGGTGTTTTTATTGACTGCTTTGTGCCCCAAGGCTGCTGTAAATCTGAACATCCTGAATGAAGGATGGTGTGTTTGATGCTGTGATGCTCTACAGGCCTGTTGTAATGAAGAGAAGCAACTTTGACTTGGAAGGGTTGGGAAGGGGGAGAGCAGAAGAGAGCTGAGTTGTGAGAGATAGCCACTACCCAGGTCATTGTTGTCTGAAAGTAGAGATGAGTTTGAGGTACTACAGGTACTGAGGTGAGCTTTTCCTTATAGGAAATAGAACAGGGCATTTTAAGAGGCTCTATGAGAAAGGATAATGAGTTTAGTAAGAAGAACCAAAGAGGTAGTGATGCTCACAGTGGGTGAATGACCGACATGGCAGTGAATGTGTCAGCAGTGATCGAGGTGAGAAACTGGGAGGACTTGCTGGGGGGCATCTTTAGAGCTCATTGATTTGACCGAAGTTGTGGTATGGCATCTGTTGCAGGAGTCTGTGCCTTCTAGAAAAATGCTTCCACCTCCTTTAGCATAAAGAGGTGTAACTTTTTTTTTTCTTGTATGAAATAGCTTCTTCTGTTACCTTCTTACACTTTTTTTCATAGACATGAGCTCTCTCAAAAGTGAGATTACTGAAAATTCTTGCCCTTCAATATCAAACAATTAGGAGTCAATTGTTTTTTAAACAGAGAGGAGGAAAAAAAAAGCAACTGACAGAAGTGCTATTGCCTCTGGTATAATTGAGTGAAACATTAACATATCCTCCTTGGCAGTGATAGAGTTGATCAAGAGTATCGCAGCTGAAAACACGTACTGTTGCAAATGCAAACTTGTTTTTGTTAAAATAGGCTGCAATGTGGTCAGTGCATTAGTGGAACCAAAAATAGGGCCCTGTCTCTATGGTGCTGATGGTGGGGTTTATTATTCTGTTATAGAAGGTAATGGTATATTGCTAGGTCAAGGAAAGGGTCACAGATACAGCAGAGCCTTAAGAAATAGTCAGAGGCCAACAATTGTAGGACAAGGAACAAAAATATTATTTGGTTTTGCTCATGAGGTAATAATTTTCTTGGATTATCTTAAGTATGATGATGCCTTACTCCTGAAGCACGCACACAAGCTCTATTTGGTATTCATGGGCCTTGGAGAAGCTTCTACGGTTGAACTTCCTTCCTCGAGAACTTTATAAAAACAAATAACGTTTCTTAGGCATGTTGAAATGCCAAAGTCTTCTCTTTGTGGATCAGACATACAACAGACAATGAAAAAGTCAATTTTCACAGGCTGTCTGTGCCATTTACTGACATCTTGAAAAATTTGTGGATTTTCATTTCCTTAAGATAAAAGGCTATTGCCAGTCTTAATTTTGGGGTCATATTTGATAAAAGTTTATCAACCTCTTGTGGATTAAAACAACACAATTTATGTTTTCCTTTTTATGGGCAATGGAAAGTAGTATAACAGTACCTTCCTTGCATTTTTATTAAGTCTTGTTCTATTTTATATCATGGCCTCTGAAAGGCATAGAGTTACTACATTAATTTGAAGAAAAGGGAGTGATGCCCTTTAATGTTGAGTCTGAAATAGTGAAAGAAAGTGGTCCTTGTTGGCTTGTTGTGTTCTGTTAAATAATCGCAAAATAATTTGAGGTTGTTTCTTACATAACGTTGAAATCTTGACACTAAGGTGGTATTTTAAAGCTATTTCTTTCCATCATTTTTTTCCAAAATCAAATGCCACCTATTCTATTCTATAGATACTCTTTCAAACTACAAAATGAATTATTTAAACACATTGTCATTTAAATTTAGAGCTTCTATTGTATGTCATCCATTACAGTATTATATGTAAGGTTTAATATGCCACTAAGTAATAAAGTCACTGAAACATCAGACACCTTTAGGTAAAGGAATTAAAATACTAATTGGAATGCTTGTTGATACATTTTAAAAAAGCAAAAATAGCTGTGTGATATAGGCAGCAAACACTCAAATTGGTTGAAAAGGTCAATTAAATTGAAGGAAAAGTACTGCCAGGGTACTAACTTAGTTCATGATAGTTCATATGTCTGTCTGCTTGAGAAGCAATTGTTACAAGATTTGTTGGCTTTTATTATTTTTTCCACAACTGCTTGCTATCATTTGAGGTTTCAATTCCTTGACATAGAATTGATGGATAATTAGTAGTGTGGATAACTGTGAAAAGCATATATAGTAATTTAGTTCTTGGTTCTTTCTAATTGCCTGCCCATTGGTAGTTTGGTAGGGTGAGTAGCTCATTATTCAAATATTCTAAATGGAAATTACTGTAGAAATAATAATCTTATGATCAACATGAGATTGAAAACCAAAGCCTTCTAAATAAACAAGTCATTATTTAACAACTCTGTCCCCAAAGCCATTGTTCAGATGCTATAAGGAGATGTGGGTTGTGGGGAGTAGAACTAGGGTTGACAGGTAGAGTTCATTTTTGTTGTGTCTGAGATAAAATGTCACTGTTTAAACAGAAGGTAGAATCAAATACAGTAAAATATGCTGGGATATTGTAGCTCTTCTGAGGGGACGAGCTTCATTTTTAAAGGTAAACATCTAATGTTAGTAGACCTTAAGGACAAACATGCTGTTAATTAAGGTTGTCCTCAAGGTCATTTTGAACCTCAAATATGCAGATTTTTACATTAAAGCTTTTAGCTTGCCTGGAGTACTTCCTCCCAAATCTAATGTCTTCTGAGGTTGTTAATCTGGCTATTTTTCAAGTGTGCTTAAAACTTCAAGGATGAGATATTTGTACTGAGTCACTCTCCCTGCAGTCTCCACAACTCTCTCCTTACAGTTTCCTTTCTTGTTTTGCTTCACTTTGCTTTTCTGTAGCCTGTGACTAGTGAAAAGATTAGTTCTGTGGATGGTGATCTGTGATGCAAATGTATCCCTCGGCAAGGAGGAGTCTCTGATGTAATTTTGTCTGGGTGGTCTTAATCCTGAAGTTGCACTGTAGTACAAGGGTAGATACTTTCCTTGGAAGTTGACACATTTTGTTACAATGTTCAAAACTAAAAATGTACTACAGGGTGATACAAGAGAATACAGTGCTTTCACAGCAGCATGGCTTGAAGATTTGAAAGGTGGTTGTGAGATTATTTTTTTTAAGCATAGTAATAGATCAGTTCACAAAAGTCCTCCACCTGTCAAAATGCAATATTTTGTGTGAAAACATAGGTCATATCCCAGTTGTTTTTTCTTAACTAACCTTCTAGGTTGATGAGGTAGGATGAATATCTGAATGTTTTCATTTATAAAACATTCGTGTACCCAAACATGTATTTTGTCAATCTGAAAGTTCATTGCAATCGTATTTGTGTTTCAAGTAATGTGTTTCAGTTATTTACTCTTGTTAGAATTTTAAGGTGAAGGACTCAATTCAATGTCACATGTTTCTTTGTAGTTTGGACAAAGCCTATATAGATGCCCTCAGTCTGAATTCTGTAACAAACAATGTATCTGACTTTATCATTTTCAGATATCATCTAATATTCTTTCTCTTTTTTTTTTAACAGATTTGAAGAACTTGTGAAAAAGTTCAAAGTAGAATATCATGCTGGTGGCTCTACTCAAAACTCTGTCAAAGTGGCCCAGGTTTGTTCGTTCTTAAGAATAACTGATTATTTGGAGTATTTAGTTTGAATTAACTTAGTGCTCTGTATTGTGTACTGCGTCTGTAATGAGAGCTACTTAATGTCTCCATGTGATTCTGTTTCTCAGAGTATGTTTTCTGGTATGTTTTTGAGATTACCTGTTTGGAAGTTTTACTCTTTGTTTCAAACACTTGTTATGGTTATAGCTGTAATGTGCCTAAAAAAGAAGATGGAAGGGTTGTAAGAAATATTGAGCCAGGTTCTTCTCACAGATGAAACAATGTAATAGCAAATGGCAAGGACGAGGTCCCAAACTGCAGTGAGGAATCCTCCAGTGGTTAAAAAATGAAGCACAAAGAAAATGGTTAAACATGTTGCCCAGGGAAGTTTTAGAAACTTAGAGCTTGGAGATTTCAGTAAGTGACCATAATGAATGAACCAGATCTAAGTTTGGGGATGGCCCTGCTTTAAGTGACGGGTTGGACTAAATGACCTGATAAGGTTTCTTTTAGTCTGCATCATTCTGTGATGCTAACCACATTTATTCTCTAGGAATTTGGAAGCTTGTCCATCAAAGACAAAAATGCAAGGCTTTTTTGTACAAAGATATTTTGTCTGAATATTATGAACAATAATGATGAATTGATTTTGAGATATAGTTAGCTTTTTTGTAACTGAAACATGCCTTTTGTCACTATACTATTAAGAATATAGTTCTGCATTTATTTTTAGGTTATGTGCAACAACTAGTTCAGAGTCATGAAATTCAGTTTCTATTTCTGTGTATGGATTGCAGAGTATTAGAAGCAAATGCACATGGTAGAATCAGAATTACAGAACTTGGACCTGTTCTTGCATGTCTCCTTGAAACGACTTATTTGACCTTAGCTAATTTATTTCTAAACTATCTTTGATACCTTACTGCCATTTAGCATAGCTGTCAAGATGTTATTTAATAATTACACTATGAAGTGCACAGAACCTTTACAGTGTGAATTGGAGGGAAAAAAAAAAAGACAATTCAAGGAGTGAAACAGAGGTTTCTATGTCAGTGCTCCATTTTTATACTGATAAGTTTTTGTCAGTGAACTTTTCTCTCTGCTTGGGCTCTGAGTTGGGACCTCATTCAGCTGCAGTTGCCATCTGGAATCGAATTTGTCTCCGGAAGGGTTATCATCTCCTAGTTTTTGTTTCAAATAAGATTGAAACTTCAAACAGTTGTGCATGAATAACATAACATGACTAAAAGGCTTTAAAGTGATGGATAGAAGGGTGAGAGAGAGAGAGAGAGAAAAGAATTCTGGAAATCTTAAAAGAAGCTGCTATCCAGTAAGCTTTGGCAGAAGAAGAAATGTGAGGACAGGGAAAAAACATTTAAGTGTAAACCAAAAATTGAAACCAGAAATTTTCCAATATTCATTGGAATATTGCAGAGAGAATAAGCGTGTGAATAATCTTAGATCTGTATAACTTAAATATGTATTTACTCAAAGTACCAGGAGAAAGCAAAGACTCATTCAAGAAGCCTACTGCTGGTTGAGAAGTAGAAGATTAATGGATTTTAAATTCAGACTGCTGAGGTAGCTGCACTGAAAGTTCATTGTAGGTTCTCTGCAAGAAGATGTCCTAAGAATAAAACTCATATTAATTTCTCAGCTTGTTATATCCTATAGGGATACAGTGGTAAAAGTGTGCTTAAAAAAAAAAAGTAAGATACAAACTCAAAATTTTGTTTGAGAGTTTATAAGTTGATGAGAATAAGGGCATGTTCAAGGAATGCATCCTTAAAACATTCACTGTAATGAAATATAATTTGAGCAGGATAGTGGGAAGTGAACAGATAGCTTCTAAGGTCTGGCAACTGATTTTCTAGAAGTTCACTTCAGAATGGCAGTAGTGTATTATTAAGGGCTGTAGGAGAAGTAGAAAGTAGTTAATAAAAGGATTGGAATTAAAAAACAAAAAAAACAAAAAAAAACAAAGCTCAAGAATTTAAGAAACAAGTAATAAATGGGGTCACTGAGTTATTTTATCTCCTGCTTTAAGGTCAGAAAAGCAGTGCTGTGTTGAAACAAAATTACCCAAAGGCAGAATGGTAAACTTAGAATAATTAATCTCTTGAAATTGGAAAAATGAAACAGTCCATAGTCATGCTTATGTGCTGTATGGTGATTGCCATCTCTGTTATATATTCTCATATTTTTTTTTTTAAGTTGACATTTTTCTGTCATGTCTGTAAAGAGAGTGAGGATAATGAGAATGACTCAAAGACTTTTCCTGAAAAGACTGTTCCTGAAGTGGATAGGCCAGCTCCAAAAAGTCTTAGAGATAGTGTGTTTATCATGTACAGGAGATTTGAGATGGTAAGAAGATGGTAGGAATAAGAGTATTAAGAAGATAGCAGGAAGAAGCTCTGTGTTATGAAGAAAACTAGGAAGAAAATGAGACTTAAATCATGGAACATGATTTTGGGAACTAAAGATTTGAAGTGGCAATTGCAGTGGAAATTAAGATGTAAGAAGCATCCAAAGAATTAACTAGTATTGCAGTCAGGCTGTGAAGAGTAGAATTACTTAGGTTTTTCTAGCCAGTTGACAGAAAAGAAAGATCTGAAGTGCAGCCTTGAGGGAAGAATTGGATGCGTGAAATACTGTCTTGCAGTAGAACAGAAGTTGAAGGTGTAGTCTGCTGCAGAAGCAAACTATGGTTGGAGAGCACTGTGAGAATCAAAAAGTTCAATGTTCCCTGCCCAGGTGGGCATTATGTGGACAGGGTGTTTCAACAGGGTCAAAGGAAAAAAAATAAATAATTAAAGAAAAGGTCTGCATCTGCATGTGTAGGGAAAACAAATAGGATGATTTTGAAGATGATTCTACTTGACTGAAGTGCTATGGAGAATGCATTTTTGCAAAAGGATGCAGAAGCAGAGAGAAACATACATCAGAAGGAAAGCTCTGTTAAAGGAAGGAAAGGAGCCAATCAAGAATGAATCTGTTGCAAAGATGTCCAAAGATAAATTAAAAATTGAGAGAATTGAAAATAAATGGATGAGAAATCCTGAAATATCACTCTAGTTCTTTTTGAGTGTATTGTGTTCTATTGTTTAAGTGGTTTTATACAACTCTTTTTTTTTTTTTTTAATATCCCTTAAAATGACAAAAGAGAGCATCCAGAAAGCGCACTAATAAAGCCACGGAGATAGGATGTTTATGTTCAAGTCTTCTGGGATGTCAATGTTGTTTGAACATATGTTGATCTTGTAAAGAGTGAGGAAGTCAAAACTATTTTGGCTTGACCTAACTCACATTAGGAAGGAGGAGAGGAAAAAGTGATTGATGTGTTACAGAAATGGCAGCAACAGGCATAAAAATGAAAAGATAAAAGAAATTACAGTTCAGTCATTCCTTAATGAGTTTGAGTTAACAGCAAATTATGTCTTGGAAATATTAATTCATATGATGAGGGTAATACTGACAGAAAGAACTGAGGAAAATGGAAACAGAAGTGTGTGGGGGAAAAGACAAAATGGTTTGAGAGAATAGGAAATAAGTAACCAGGAAGGAGAAAAAAAGTATTAAACCTCAATATTGCTCTGATTGTGTGTTGTTTACTGTCTCACCCATATTTCTTTCTTACCATTGCTTTCTATTGTTTACTTTCATCTGTAATTAACTAATTTCAAATGACTTCATCTGGAAAAGAAAAGCAGAACAGATTGGATACTTGTAAAGCCTTGAGGAAAATTTATATCGAAATAAATACTTTTCTTTCAAAAGTTTAGTATTGTGTAGAAAATTGTGCCAGTAGTGACAGTATTGAATGGGGAGAGGGAAAGAGGGATAATGGTAGAAGGTTTTCCTGTGTGCAGGACAATACAGAATACAGTTGGAATCCAGGTCATCAATTAAAATGCAGGTAATGCATTCTGAGGCACTCTTACTGTTGTGTTCAATGGGAATTTTTTCAATCTTGACCCACTGTTTGGGAGTGTCAGTAACTTCAAACTTTGAAGTATTAGACCTTAAATAATCAGGCATTGATCACTGAACGTTGCTTGTGATAGTAGTTTGGAAAATCAAGACTACAGATAATAAAATAAATTGCAATAATTTCTGAAGTAGAAACTAATGTTTAACTTCACTGTTTGTTTTGGTGATCTTTGCATTGGAATTATGCTCTTATACCCATACTTTGTTTTGTTTTCTGTTTAAAGTTCAAGTTATGTTGCACACTTCAGAACAGCAAGGAATGGGGATAGCAAGTTGAAACTGCAACATGCTGCTACTCTGACCTTTACTTGTCTCATTAAATTTTGGCTTTATATCTAATATGATATGTGACATCTTGCTTTAATCTGAGCTCTTGCAATCCCTCCAAGTGATTGGATCCATTATATTAAATCTATAAAATATGCATACATGTAAGTGCATACAGTTCATAAATAATGGATTGTTTTAGAGTTCTGCCAACAAACTAAATTCAGATTCGTGAATACAGTATTTTACTACTCATCAGCTTCTTTCTGTAATTTTAATCGAGACTGCGTGCATGTCTAGCAACAGACACTGATCTGGAAAGGAAAAAATCTGAATCTTTTCACAGGGCTCCTTAATTTAAAACATTTAAAACAGATAGATTGCTTGTGTAGACAGGACATGTATTGCTGACCATGCTGTATTTGCATGATTTTTATCATTGTTTATTCCAACTTTGGTCTGCTGAAGTTACAATTGCAATATGATGTAGTCTTTTGAAGTTTTTTTATCTTTCTAGCTCAAGTACTGGATTTCGAGTGTAACTTGATAGCATTTTATAACTTGGATTTTAAACAACACAGCTTTGGCAACAGTCAGAGCACGTTTTCATTCTTGTTTTTCTGAGAGTGCATATAAAGAATGTCACATTGTTCATGCTCAGAATTGGTGCTCTTAGTTTATACTCAGTTTCTCAATAGCTCATGTTCATTCTAACAATTCTGCTGTTACCTTGGATGTAACTTAG